CCCCCCCCCCCCCCCCAGCATTTCATCAGGCTTCCCTGACAATGCTGGTAAACGTTTTACTCCTGGGTAGAGAGAGGTACTGTGAAAGTAAATTATTTTGCCCAAGAAGATAACACAATAAGCATGACTAATGGTTTGATCGCTCACTGACCACAAGATCACACCATGTCTCCCACCACTAAGAATTAGGACAACTTGAAATTTGGAAATTTTGACTTGATATAAAACCATGACTGGAAAAAGGGTTAGTTTCAGAACTCTGATGAATTTTCCCAAAAATGTTATTCCCAGCTTCATATCATCAATTAATAAACTTTAAATAAACTGTTGCAGCAAAGTAGTTATAAGTTAACGTTAACCAATCATTTGGAGGCATACATGTGTAAGGCTGTCTCAGTTACATGATTACTCACTTGACAAAAGATGAGGGTCACTAATAGCCTTGCGCCCCACCTCAGAGCTACAGAAATAAGCTGCTCCGGGGGTAAATATAATGTACATTACCTGAGAGACAAATGGTCCAATACTGTTCTTCAGAGCTAAAATTTTTCCAAGAGATTTTTCAATAATTGATGGAAATGCAAGTAGTCTGAGGGTGTGGCCTGTTGGAGCTGTGTCAAATACCACTACACTAAAATCCATTGTGTTCACTAGCCTGCGTGTAGAGAAAGTTGAAAAGCTTTACTAGTAAGTTATAGCAGATAATTATCTTGATCACTGATCACTCACTCACTGAGTCCTTTAAGGGCCAATGTTCAGACCAGCCAGGGTTTTTTTTTCAAATAAGATATTTCTCCATCACAAGTCAACTATAAATAAACTTGTCTTTCATTAATTTTGGGTTTTAGGTACCAAGACATGAACTCAAGTGCTAACCGTACTTGGTAACCAACTTTGTACAGGTTAATCCTTTAACTCCCAAGATCTCATTAGTAATTCTCCTTACTGTCTGCCATACAGTTCTTGTGATGTTAGTTTGGAGAATTTGGTATTGGATTAAATAATAATCCTCTGAGTGATATTTTTTTTTCTCATCACTTGTGTGCTTTATAAGGAAAATTCTGTCTTGGCACTCATGGGAGTTGAAGGGTTAATTATTAATATCTACTGCGAAAAACCCTTCTGTGTTGTTATTGAAACGATGAAGATGACAGCAATGTTGATGATAATGGTGATGACAAACCTCATAACCTCAGCAAAACTCATGGCTTCATCAATTCCAGGAAAAGCTCCTAATAGTTCCTTAATCATACCTTTACCCATGGACATCAAGTCTATAAAAAAAGTCACATGATAATGACAAATTTGAATTATACAAAAACACTTTGCAAATTTCAGCCACAACAACAACAACAATGATAGGAATGATGATGATGATGATGATGATGATGATAAAAACAATGTGACAAGTAATAATAGTTATCAATTATTCACTGACGTTGAGGTGAATAGTGACAGATATTTACCAAGCCACAACGTGGCAAGGTAAATACCCTTCACTTGCACTGACACTTAGGTAAATAATTGTTTTGGTATATAACAGACAAAACTAAAAAAATCTGTTTTTTTCAGTTACAATATCCAAGAACAGTCAGAAATTAGAATGTCAATGGGGAAATTTTGTCTCTCCAGCTACTCAAAAGTGAATAGTACTTGCCAATCACTTCCAAACCAGCCAATCAAAGTGTACAAAAAGCACTTCTTACCTGTGTGGTATTTACATTTACTAATAATAAATATTTCGACTATGTTTAATATATTGTATCATAAAATTAAATGATAGTATAAGTACAAAGAGGAACTCACCTGGCTCATCTAAAATATCATCAGGAAGCTGAGAAAATCCAACATTTGGGTCTATTTCCTATTGAAATAATAAACGTGTATACAATGGTTAAGCTTTTTTACCCTTTGACATCTTGGGATGACTAACATCTAATCCTCGTTGAGAATATCATCTGTGAATCACACATTAAGGTCATGCAAATAAAGAAGATGATCACCAATTAAAGCTCTTGATTGGTCAACAAATTCTCTCTGTTGGCACCAAAGTACATGTATAGAGAACATTATGGAGAATATACATAATGATGTTAACATTATAAAGCTAGAGATTAAATTTTGTGTGTAATGCTTAACCCTTTCACCACCAAGATCTCATTAGTAATTCTCATCAGTGTCAACCATACAATTCTTATGAGTTTAGTTAGGAGAATTTGGCATAAGATCCACTGATAATCTCCCTACTTGATATTCTTCTTTATTCTCATTACTTTTCTGCTTGATATTGTATTAAAATTGTAAGGAGAAATACAGTCCTGGTCACTCATGGGAGGTAAAGGGTTAACTTACCATTGCATAGAGGTTATCACAGCCTTGAACCTTGGTTGGAGTGTTGCTAAATTTCTGGTTGAACGCATCTGATATGTTATGAGCAGGATCAGTAGAAATAATCAGGACAGTGTCTCTTGTTTTAGCGAGTTGAAGAGCAATGCTACAACTAAACAATATTAAAATACAAACATGATGAACATTTTGCACAGATTTGAAAGATGTTAAATTTTTAGCTCATATTTCTCATATTTTCTTTTGCTATTTGTTTGCATTACAATATTAACATTACTGATCCTTGACACTGCACCCTGAACTCCTGTTTTATATACACCTATATGTAGTAATGGCATGGCTAAAAGTAGAGTTTTCTGTAATTTTCTTTTTAAACGTTTCAATTGATTCAATCTGACATGGAAACTTTTCGTGGATCAAGTTTATCAATTCTTACTCACTGTCAAGATGACTGGTAATGAGAGCCAAGAGAACTATCACTTCTGGTGGATTCTGTCAAACATTTTTCTATATTATATAGAAAAACGATTCATAGAATCCTCCTTTTTTCAATGAAATCATACACCTTACTATTTTATTTACATCTTTGATAAAAACAATAAATACGATAGTTTAAAAAATTTATCACAACTAGATGGCTATCAAACTAGTGCAAAGAATAGAGAAATAGAAAAAAATCAAACTTCAAGAAAGATTAGAGACGATAATCAGTAAAAGAGTCCTTGGCTGATCGCATGATAACCATACTGAGTAAGACAGAATTGTACGTACGCTTTCGCAATCGTCGAACTTTGAAAACCGTGAACATTTGGCGTAATTTGGGAACATTTAATTTAGTATTACCAATCACCGTTGAAATCAGGACGTGCATAAACCAAGTATTCACAAGGCGGTAACACGGTTTTCTGAAATCTTCAGCTATCACATCAAAAAATCGACGCCAATCATTCTACAAAATCTTAATCTAACAGCAGTCTTATTGCGTACCTGCATGTTGTCTTACCAACACCACCTTTTCCTCCGACAAAAACCCATCGCAGCGTCATTTGATCGATGATATTTTGAATCGACGGTTCGAAAACTTCAGCTTCTTCTACGATGCTGGCGGACGCCATCTTGATGAGCGTTAACAAGAAAAAGATTGGTAACTGGTGGAGAGACCGCTATCAGTGTGAACTAAAGGCACAGAACAATGATTTCAACATGGCGGACAAAATGATAACTTGAAGCGACAGTAAACGTTTGGCAAAAATTACAATGTGTGGAATTTGCTGTTGCCTTTTCGTGGATAATCACAGCTCTAGGAGTCGCTATAAGGTTGGTTTTTATCCTTTATCCGATCTTTCTATTCCTTCATATTTTTTTTTGGTGAGAAGCAAGAAAACTCTGAGCATATGTTGTTCTCTCAGCAATGATTAACATATAAATTCTCCTAATAAAATTTAAACATCAAGCAAAAAGGTAACGAGAATACTCAATCTTATCAGGTAGAAGTTTTTTATCTCGGTCTTAAATCAAATTCTCGTTACTTATTTACAGGGAAATGTGTAGCGGCTAGAGGGGAGAATTTACGATCAGATCTTGGGAGTTAAAGAGCCTCCCAATTTTCTGTTAATTTTTTCGGCAGATTTGTGGTCCTCAATTTTCTTAAACTTCTAATGCTAGAGTTGTGTTTTGTTTCGTTGAAAGTGGTGGCAAAAGGATCAGGGGTGCAAAGTTTCTTTAACAATTATTGCTCAAGGTTATTTCAGATTCAATCCTTCCACATCTCCAAAGAAGAGGTCCTGACCATGCCGGAAAAACAGACTGTTCCATAACAAATGATAATGGAACAATCTACTTGAAATTTGTTGCTACTGTGCTTCATTTGAGAGGAGCAAAGACTCCTCAACCTTTAGAGGATGAATCTGGGAATATTTTGTTGTGGAATGGAGAAATATTTGGTGGATTACAGGTACAGTTATTTACATAATTTTAGAAATTCCAAATGAAAAATAAAATGAAATGAATTGCTTATTATAGGAGATGTCAGTGTTGTACTGTAGAATTCCTTTTCAAGTGTACTAAGAATTCATACAGCCAAAATGTTGAAGCATTCATTTAGTACATGGTGAAGATTATAACGAACTACAAAGAAAAATTCAGGCTTACTGGAAGTACTGTAATACACCAAGCTTGTGAATCTGGGAAGTCATTCCATTAAAAAAAAAAAAGGAATATTTTATTTTAGTCAACAAGTAAACCCTAACATAACCTTTTTAGGTAAAGGAAGATGAAAATGATACTCTTGTTTTGCTGGAAAAGTTGTCCAACCATCCATCAGATGTTCCTCCTTCTCAGCACATTTTGTCTACACTGGCAAAGATTCATGGTCCCTGGGCATTTCTTTACTGGCAGGTACAGGCCTCTGATCTGCTAAATATACAAGGAGATCAATTTATTATCTGGGGAAAGGGCCTAGAACAATGCCGTGGTAGGATGATAGCATTATTAGGTAATAGGAAAAAGAATTAATCCACAATGTCTGAATGAAAAAATTTAGCGGAGGTCATTGAAATTTAACAAGAGAATTTTGTGTAGCAGCCAGAGAATTCTTAGATCTTTGATGGGTAATAAACCCTCTGAAAAGGTGAAAAGAATTCACAGACCTGTCCAAAAGAAGGTGCAATCTCAATGAAATACCAAATTTTCTCAACTTATACCAGGAGAGAGCAGACGCATTTCTGTTCGTCAAATTTCTCAATAAAGCGTCACTTTTTCCTATCACCAAAAATATGCATGCCTTTGTAGGCTACTTGGATAATTTGTAAGGAAATGTGGAGTGGTTGGAAATGGGTGTAGGGAACAAAGGAGTTTGAATCGGATCTTGAAAAATCAACAGTTGACATCATGCCATGGCAATCAGATTGAACTTCTTTGGTTTACAGAATTACCTCATTTTTCTATTTCTGAGATGTTTCAATTTTGTCTAGGTAAGTGAACAGAAGCTATGGTTTGGCAGAGATTATTTTGGACGTCGCAGTCTCTTATGGCACCTTCCTTCGAATCCGGATGATGTACTTGCAATAGCCTCTGTGACTGAGAGAAACCCTGTTGCTGCTGGAACGGATCTGGTGAGCATTTTCTTTTGCTTTTTTAAAGTAAAGTGTACATGTAGAACCAAAGCGGATTTTTTCAGAGTTTAAAAGTTAGAATTTTTTACTAAAACAGCTAGGCTATACAATAAGGCTTTTTTTGAACTAGCCTTCTTGGTTTGTAAACTCTCACAGCGTCTCTCTCTCTGTTTATTTACAAGTTATTCTGATTTTAATCAACTGAGTTGATGGTGTGAGATACTGACTGCTTTCGAGTATTAGCCCATAGGCAGACCACACCATGTGTTGATGGTTAATAATTGTTGACTTGACACGAACAAAATATATGAGGGTAATGAGTAAAGCTTTGAAAATTGCATATCCATATTACATACGACAGCCCATTGCGATTCAAAACCTAGCCAAGCGCTGAGTTTGGCACCGATTATATCAAGAATGCTATATTCATGATTTCAGCGTCGATTTTTTCGGAAAATGTTGTAGAGATAAAGCTCAAATTTGGCAAAGAGATAGAGCAGCATCTCATCGATCAACAACCGTCAACCGTTGGGAGAGATTTTCAGTAGTTTGGCGTTAATTCTAGTTTGAAGTAGAGGAGGTCGCGGCTGGCTGCCATCAAGTTGCAAGCCTTGTCTCTCTCTCCATTTGTCGGATCATGTGTACTATAGGTGGCCTCGGTCGACATATAGGCCGACAATCGACCGATATATCGGTCGACAATCGACCGACTATCGGTCGATAGTCGACCGATAGTTGACCGATAGTCGACCGATAGTCGACCGATATATCGACCGACTGTCGGCCGATGCATCAGCCGATATGTGCACATTTATCGGTCCATTGTCGGCCGATATATCGGTCCACTGTCGGCCGATCTATCGGTCGACTATCGACCGATAGTCGGTCGACTGTCGACCGATAGTCGACCTATAATCGGTCAATAGTCGACCGATATATCGGCCGATATGTCGACCGAGGCCACCTATAGTACACATGATCCCCTTTCTCAAGGGCTTCCGGCCAAAAGCATTTTCGTAAAAAGACGCTTTAAACGGCCCACTTGGGCGGAAAAATACCACAACTGCTTCGATTAACATTTCATTTAACTTAATTGAGACAATCAGACCGAGATGAAATGTAGATATGCAATTTCAAGTTTCTAAACTTTATTCATAACCCCCATAGATTTTGTTCGTCTCATATCAACAACTGTTAACCACTAGCACAAAGTGTGGTCTACCTGTGGTTAGCCCTTCCCTCTGACGTAGTAAAATACCTCTGATCTTTCTGTTATAGCATTTTGAAGAGATTCCAGCCGATGGCCTGTATTGTTTGGATTTTGTGAGTTCGACGACCGAGCAAGACGAGAAACAATATTTCAGAATCAATAAATATGAATGGACTATTCCAGGTAAGGAATTAGAGAGGAAAGGGCTTTTAAATTGTCCTGTCACGCCTTTCAACAAACAAATGCCAACTGAAAAAGATTTAAGAATCATTGAAGAAAACAGGCGAAAGATTCATTCACATTTGAGTGTACAAGATGAAGGTAGAAAGAAACCGAAAGACATTCCAATGAAGGAGAGCAAAGGAACGTTACAAGGAGAAAATTATGTAGAAAACGTTAACAAAGAACTTCCTGTAGCTATCTTGCATCCTGACACTCTGAAAACAAGAAATGAAACCGAAGGAACTATTATTGAACCTGAAACCTGGAACGTGAACTGTGATCACGAAATGACTGTGCGTGAAAATAGTATGCGTGATTGTACTCGCAGTATGAAGGTGAACGTTTCTTCGACAAACGGAACTTTGCTAGATTCTTCTTTAAGAGGTTTTAGAAAAAGTTCAGAGATTCCATGTGAATATGATTCCAGTTGCTATCCGGTTGGGCTGGGCTGTACGGGAAACGAGAGAAACTTGTGTTTAGAAAATTATTCCAAGGATGATACACAAACTGATTTAAACGAAGAATGTGCAAACTTTTCTTCGACTTTGACAATCGCTGAAGAGTGTCATCAGAGCAACTTGTTAGGAACCCGAAATGAGTGGGATTCCTGTTACGGCGAATCAAGAGACAAATTTATCGCAGTTCTTGGTGATGCTGTAAGGAAACGAGTGTGGAATCTACCGAGAACTTCATGTGATAGGCATTTAGTTGCTTCTGTTTCTTCATCTGGAAGAAGTGTGGAAGCGGGAAGTTTGGAAAATTCAGAAGTTCGCGATGCTCGTGTTGGAATATTATTTTCGGGTGGAATTGACTCAATGATGATAGCAGCTTTGGCGGACAAGTAAGTCGACAAATAATGGAATACAAAAAGAAATAAACAACCGAACTAAAGAAGGAACGAACGAACGAACAACCAAACAAATGAACAAACGAACGCACAAACGAACGAACAAACGAACGAACAAACGCACGAACAAACAAACGCACGAACAAACAAACGCACGAACAAACAAACGCACGAACGAACAAACGCACGAACGAACGAACGAACAAACCAACGAACAAACCAACCAACCAACGAATGAAGAAACGAGCAAACGAATGAACAAACGAACAAACCAACGAACCAACAAACAAACGAATAAGCAAACGAACGAACAAAGGAAAGAATGAACAAACACACGAAAAAACGAACGGACAAAAGAACGAAAAACGACCAAACGCACGAACAAACGACCAAAGCGAACAAACAAAACAACGAGCGAATAAACATAGGAGAAAATCAGATTTAAAACGAACAAACTAGTGAACCTATAAACAAACAAATGAACAAGCGAGCGAACGAACGAGAACATGAACGAACGAACGAGCCAACGAACAAAGGACACGAAGAATAAGCGAACCATCGTGATATAACTGTCAAACAGCCAAACGACCAACAGGCGAACAAATGAAGGAATAAGATCGAACAAAAATAGTCTTTGAGTAACGAGTAACTTTAGTTGGGTATTTAATGGACACATTTCATTTCTAGGTATGTACCTGTTGAAGAAGCCATAGACCTCATTAACGTATCATTTGAACAAAAAGTCAATTCCAGTCATCCTCCGAACAAGAAGACGAGAAAAGGAAATCAGACGAAAAAGAACGCAACGGAAGTGAAACACTCTAGAAATTTCGGCGTACCAGACAGACTTACTGGAATATCGGGTTTGGAGGAATTGCGCCTTATCAACCCGTCACGAAAATGGAATTTTATCGAGGTGAAGAGTTTTAAGTTGTCGGATATTTAATATACACAAAAAAACGCGCAACAGGTTGCGTTTAGTTTTTCTTGTGTTACTTCGTGGCTTGATCGATTGGCGAGAACTCACCTCGCCTATTCAGCCAAACAGAAAGTGCGCCGTTAAATTGAGTGTTGTAAGCCAAGGTCCACTTGAAAGAGGAACACGAATTAAAGAACCAATAAGAAT